CACCGCAGTCAACTTGTGTTGCTTTTAAGGAGATAATGTGAAATACAAACTACAGAAAGGATTCTGTGTAGTACGATTTCAAAGATAACTTCGTTTCTCTGAAATCGTTGCTGAACTTCCTCGTACCTCATTCAGGTTCGGTAATAGAAAAAATGACTTGTAACGCTACATTGTTGAATATAATGGCTCTATAAGTATCAAACTTCAAAAACAGAACTCAGTGATGTTTGAATTGGATATGTATAAACAGCATTCAGTACTTCATCTGCATTTCAATCAGGTACACAATTGTGAAGATGTTGAAAAGACTCATAGAGTTTCATAGCTACCTCACTCCTCAGAGGCTGGAACTTAGTCACTCTCATTGATGTTATTATAAACCAAAAATTCTGAATAATACGAATTTTTATTTGAATCAGCAGGAAACTGTATAACAAAATCGGAAATCAAACAACAATCTACTTTTAAGCTTATGAAAATGAATGTTAGTGCAGGAGTTACTTCCAAAACGTCTGGTAAACAAGTGTGCGCGCACTCTTAAGCATGAATATGAACATCTTTTGAAAGAAAGCTTAGGTTTAATCAAATGATAGACTTATCCTGTTTGACTCATGATCGCACTGAAATTAAGAACGATTCAATACTCACCGCAAACAAACCTCTTTCTCATACACACTGAAAGATTCTCGCTTCTCCCACTCAGCTGTGCGATCATGAGAAATCAGAGAGCAAGTTCCTGGAGTCAGTAAACGCAGAAATGATATTGTGATTGGAAAAAAATTATAAAAAATAAAGTTTATTGTAAGATATTATGTGCAAAATGATTTTTTTCATTTAAGAAGTGGGTGGTCACTAGAAACCTCCTGCGACATCCTCTCAACGACGATTCAAAGTTCTGAAAAGATCAAATTGAAGCTCATTACACCGTAGAAGAACTTACGGGCACTGTTCTTTAGTAACACAACCTTCAGAATGTTCGCCGGATAAGAAAACATACTCCTCATTGCAAACACAAGCGGGTGGTCCACATCTAAGAGAGAAGCATGGAGAAGGCTGAAAATAGAAAATGAACTATCAACATAAGTTTATTGCATACTTTGTTATAGTTGTTACAGTTCTTTTCTCCGCACAAGTTGGTGCAATTGCTATATTTTGTGTTCGGCGCGTTACATTGAGCTTCAAAAGGAATAAACTGTAACGAATGGAAGTCAGACTTACGTGTTGTTGTAGGTGTTGGAGAGGTGTCCTGTGAATAGGAGTATGTGATCAGAGCGAAGAGGAAGTAAAAGATCTTCATCGAGTGACTGAAACAAATCAAACAGAATGATCAGTTCATGAGCGAAAGTATGTAGAAGCGCGTCGTAAAATAGCTGCGGTACAATTCAAAAACAACATGATGAAAACTGTGAAATAAAACATAAGCATTAAAGTTGTTACACTTGTAAAATATTATTTTTGAAGTTTGGCAATAGGATGATAACAAGTTTGTAAACATTTATTCTTCTCATTGATAATCTACGAAAGCATGAAAAACTTAACAAAATAACAACTCTAAACAATATCTATAAGTTCTATTTCACTCTAAAGTATTCGCTTGAACCAAGTCGGACGCTCTTTCTCCATTTCAATGATTCGCTTGCCATTTAATACCCCTTCGTCTATGACATCATCCGAGAATTTAACGAAAACCTGTACGTGTTCAGTGAACAAGAAGATGTCAGGAAGAATCATACCTGTTTATCTTGCCGTTCTCCTTTGTACGGATTGTAGTTCATTAGTTTCAATTTAATTTCATTTGTTAGCTCTCGCACCTGTCACAAGATGATGTCAAAGAGTGAAGGAGATGCTTCACTTACTTTCTTATAACATCCTCCACATATTGTTCCTGGTTGATGATACTCTCCACATGAATTACAGGTGACTAGATCATCCACAGGGGACAACACTCTAGTATACGAGAACTTCCTCGTTATTTTTTTCGCTGAAATTCGTCATTTCACTATGTTCCGTAACTTTGCTCATGACTCACGTTTGCTTGTTCTGAACTTAGGCACACCCCATAATATTCTACAGTCATTAATTATGTTTTCTAATGAATAGCCTTTAGAGCTTGATTGTTGGGAGGAGATGGCGCACATGTCCAATGCCGGAGCTTAAATCATACTTTACTACGTAAGTCTTAGATACAAAATGAAACCTAGAGGAGGAACTCTTGGTAAACCCAGCAAATCATCTACAACATGCCTGAGCTGTCGGAAAGCGCGTAACATCTGAAAAGCGGTCTTTGCATGCTCAGACTAGAACATCAAGTATATTCTGATTGCAACAGTTTGAGAGAAAACGAACAGATGAATTCATACATTTACCAAAATACATGTACATTCAAGAGAAATGTTAGAAAGATTCACGCATAACGCTTAATAATTAATGCCGGAAAAATAAATAGATTAGAAGTCGTCATCATCGTCTTCAGCCAATTCTTTGGCGAGTTCCAACTCCTATCAATTGAGATCATTCAATCAGTTTTATAATGATATGTTTACCTGTTGTTCTCTTTCTCTTTGAGCTTGGATAGTTTCGACTTTGATCTTGTTTTTGGCTGGGAAACGGAGAGCTTTTAGAGCTTGATTATGAAGTTCCAGACAATATCTAAGAAAGCATGATGAGATCACAAATTTTCTCGAGAAACATACTTGATTCTGGAGTCAAAGTGATGGAGAGGCTCAGCTGTTCTGTATACATCAACCGTCTCTGAACTCTTCATATATCTCTCGCCATCTTTAGTATCTGAGGTGATGTATGCATCGATTGCTCCAGTGGCAATAGCCTTGGCAACCTGAATAGAAGAATGAAAAGATAATGTTTATTCATCCTCACCATGTATTCTGTATCAACATCACTGTTGATCTGCAACTTCTTTCCAATATCCTACAAATAAGCCATTTTCTTAATCATCCTCATATAAGTACCTTGATAGCGATCTTAGAATAGGCCAACGAAATTTGCTTGACTGCAGTTTTGATGACATTCTGTCTCAGTCTGACGATGAGTGTTAATGTTTCATCCTTCTCGAACTGAAAACAATCAAGCTTAATTGAATAATCACTAGAGCATGGATACTTTTGTTCCATATTGGTCCAAAACTTTGTTAAAGTGAGCAAGATCACCCACACGTACAGCTGTAATAATGAAAATAAGAAAACGTAAACTGTGATATGAAAACCTTGGGTAAGTTCGAGATATGGGTACAAGCACTTTCTGTAGATAGGCTGACGGAAAGTAGATCTTTCTGGGATTTCTCCTTGAAGTAATCCAATGACTACAACCCATTTTTGAGCATTCTGCTTGAAACCAATGGCTGCCTCTTGGGGTGCCTTACGCATAGCCTAGAACGAAATTGCAATTGGTATATTATCTCTGTTATAACGTTACCTGCAGGAAATACCCGGCAGCAGCAGCATAATCCAATTGGAGAGCTTTTATTCTTCCTTGATAATATAAATAACGAGCGAGATCATTATTGTTAGCATTTTCAGGGAAAGTGACCTAAACCGATAATGATTCAGCATGAATAGGTTTTAAAGACGACTTACCTTTGATACCAGTTTAGCAGCAGATATATATTGCTTGTTCAATAAATAGCATCTCAATAATGTGAAGATTAATGTAGCTTGAGATTCATAAAGATGACGCAGTGTGGATGTTCGGAGTCGAGAGTTGAAGTAACTTGAAAAAAAAAGTTTTCAGATAGTCATAACCTAATGCTTACCTGGTGAGCTCATGGAAACGTCCAAGCTTCTCGTGAACCAAAGCCAAATAGAAATAAGCTTTAGCAACAATTGGATCGTGTGAGCGTTTTTCACTTTGGTCAACTAAATCAATCTTTAAGTTAGGATAACATTCGACAGACTAACCCTTGCTGATAAGAAGCTCAGCAGCATCTTTAGCTTCATTAAGCTTCTCTTGATCGATGAGGTAAACCAAGACAAGAAGGTTGAGATAAAGATCAGATTCCCTAGAAGAAAAAGTCTCCTTATTGGCTCTGGGAGATCTGTTTATCAAAGGAGGCAAGAATATTTCATTTCCTTACTTGGTAGGCTTTTGATCCACGTCCATTTTCTGGTCTGTATTAGCCGTTAGATTAGAAGAGGAACCATCAGGAACCCATTGCAAGAGAGCATCACGATGTTCAGTGTTTTGAGTATTATGCATCGTGATTAATTTGTGTAAGACCTATGAGGATATCGTGTTGTTTGAAAAATCAGATCGCCAACCTCTTCATTCAGCTGTTTTCTAGTTTGATGCAAAACCTGGAGAACTCTTCCCATGAAATGATTCGTGAGGAGTCCACGGTCGAGTAAAGAGCAATGCTGACGAATTTCTTAATTTCACGAAATATAGGATCGGACTTCGAATTGTCATACTTTGAAAAGCAACTACTCTTGGATCTCTTGTCTCTTCTTTCTCCTTTTGATCATCAACTTCCATACTTTCAACATTTTCAGCTTTGGTATCAGCTACGGGCGCCATTTCCCTTAAAAAATAAGTTATAAAATTCCAAATATGTCCGAAACTTAAGATAAAATACAAAGCGAACGGATAGAGAATATAACAAAAGCTGCGCACACTAAAGTGGGCGTTGCTTGCTGATATTAAACCGTGCGGCGAATGTGAGAAATGGGTCCTGCACAGATAGAGTTTCAAATTTCGAGAAATTACTCGAAAGAACCAAAAGTACCTCCGGAGGGGGCGTGGTTATAGAGCCCATTCCAGGCTGTTCAGAACAGTCTCAATCTCATATGTAAATTCCATCGTGCTGCCACTCTATGTTAGGCTCTTAGTTCTTTTCTTCCTACCATTCATTTTCTCTTCCTCTTCCTTGTTGAGTCATCAAGTTCAAACAGAATTTTCAGGTCGTTTCACCAAACGCGCCAAGATCATGTCTGTTGTAGGATTTGATATCGGAAACCTTAATTGCTACATTGCTATTGCCCGTCAGGGTGGTATTGAAGTAATCACCAATGATTACTCTCTCCATGCTACTCCGTAAGTTCTGAAACAAAATAACTATATCACCATCTCATCAATGCAGAGCTTGTGTTTCCTTTGGAGCGAAACAACGTTCCATGGGAGTCGCTGCTCGTCAATCTGTGAACAGCAACTTCAAGAACACCGTTCTGAACTACAAGCACTTGATTGGACGCAAATTCAGCGATCCTATCACCCAAAAGCTCATCAAGTTGGTGCCATGTGGAGCCGTTCAGCTCGAGAACGACAACATAGGAATCAAGGTATCTGCGTTTCTTTAAACTGCTTCTGATTATCGAGTTTGCAGGTTAGATACCTCGAGAAAGAGGCAGTCTTCACTGTCGAACAGATCTATGCTTGTCTTCTTACTAAGCTCAAAGAGATCGTCGAGAGCCAAGTAACTGAAATCAAGAAAGTTTCTGATTGTGTCGTCTCCGTAAGTTTATAAGAATTTTTCTACTAGTTACATGTCTTTTTAGATTCCTGGCTTCTTCACTGATGTGCAGAGAAGAGCTGTTATTTCTGCTGTTCAATGTGCAAACTTGAATCCTCTCCGTATCATGAATGAAAGCACCGCTATCGCTCTTGCTTATGGTTTGACTAATTCTTTATAATCATTTGAAATGTTTCTTATGTAGGTATCTACAAACAAGATCTCCCTGAGGCTGTTGAGGGTGTCCGTCCCCGCCATGTTGTTTTCTTGGACATCGGACATTCCGCTACACAAGCTTGTTTGGTCGCTTTCAACAAAGGAAGATTACAAGTAAGTCGAGTGTTACATTTCATGTGTAAGTGGTAAGTTCTAGGTCTTGGCTTACAACTTTGACCTGGATGTAGGAGGTCTGTACTTCGATATTCTCATCGCTGAACACTTCTGTGCCGAGTTCAAAACCAAATATGGTAAGTTTCTATTTGCTGTACAGTTGATGAGTGTTTACTCGTAGGAATTGACGCTTCCACTAGCCCTCGCGCCTGGTTGAGACTTCTCGATGAAAGTGAGAAAGTTAAGAAGCAAATGTCTGCCAACTCTACTCCCATTCCAATCAACATCGAATGTTTCATGGAAGACAAAGATGTTACAGCCAAACTCCAAAGGTTTGTTTTGAATTTCAAATTTCGTCATACAACTTATGACATTTAAGAACCGATTTCGAAAACTTGGCCACAAATAAATTCGAAAAAATCTCAAACCTCCTTAAGCGTCTCGTAGCTGAAAGCGGTGTCAATGTTGCTGATATCGACGAAATCGAGATTGTTGGAGGTTCTTCTAGAATTCCAATGGTTCGCACTATCGTCAAGGATATCTTTGATAAGGATGCTAAGACCACCATGAACCAAGATGAAGCCGTAGCCAGAGGTTTTATATGAGTCGAGTGTATAAAGTTCATTTTTCTTCCTAGGAGCTGCTATGCAATGTGCTATTCTCTCTCCTGCATTCCGTGTCAGAGAATTCTCCGTTAAAGATTGTCAACCTTACAGAATCCATCTCACTTGGAAGGGTGGCGCTCCAGAAGGAGGGTAAGAATTGAAAGTCAATTTCCATTAACGATGGTTTCTTAGTGAATCTGATGTCTTCGTTGAGCGTGATGAGTTCCCTTACTCCAAGGTCATCACTTTGTACCGCAGCAGCGATTTCCAAATTGATGCTAAGTATGCCCTTCCTGAAACTGTACCACATAGTACTTCAGACATTGGTATGTAGCTAAGCTGTTTGACATATGGCTCTTTATCTGTTATAGGGGTATGGAAGTTCCGTGGTATAACTCCTGCCGCCGATGGACAAGCCAGAAAGGTTAAAGTGAAAGTTCGCGTTACTCCTAACGGTACCTTCACCATTTGCTCCGCCTCTTCTACTGAGGTTATCCCAGTTGAGGAAGAAGCAGTAAGTTACGTTTTGATTGATATTAGTCAAGGTTTTTTCTCTAGCCTCAAGAGTCAATGGAGGAAACCCCAGCTGAAGGAGCTGAAGCTAAACCAGCTGAGCCCAAGCAAAAAACTAAGTCCGTTGAGTATGCCTTGGATGAGTTGTTCCCCGATGTCTACAACGGTCTTCAATATGCTGGAGTTGAGGAAGAGATGCAGAGAGCCGATTTATTCGAAAAGAAGAAGGCTGACGCCAAAAACAGTGTTGAAGAGTACGTGTACGAAATGCGTGATAAGTTGTCCGATCAACTCTCCGGATTTGTTACCGGGGGAGATGCTGATATGTTCCGCTCCTATCTTTCTACCACTGAAGAGTGGCTTTATGATGAGGGAGAAGATACCGAAATCCAGGTATACGAGGACAGACTTGCTGAGCTGAAGAAAATCGGTGACCCAATCGTTGAACGTTACCGCGAATCGATCTCGAGAAAGCCTGCTTTCGATGCTTTCGATCAATCCATCCTCCGTGTCCGTAAGGCTTATGAGGATTATCGAAGTGGAGCCAACTATGCTCATATTGAGAGCAAAGATATGGAGAAAGTAAGTTTTCCTTTGTTTTTAATATACATTCATATATCATGTAGGTGTGCAATGCTATTGATGAGTACAAGAAATGGATTGATGACGCTCGTCAACGTCAAGGAAACAAATCTCAAACCGAAGCTCCTGTCGTATTCGTTCACGAAATTAAGCAACAACAAGAAGTATGGCAAACACTGTCTTAGCTTGATTACAAAGTATTTTCAGGCCTTCGACTCTATTGTTAAACCAATTCTTAACAAAAAACCACCAAAACCACAACCTGCTCCAACCCCTGCTCCTCCAGCTGGTGGTGGAGCTCCAGGTGCTGCTCCGGGTGCTGCTCCAACAAACCCGGATCCTTTAAGTTCGGAAATGGAAGTTGATTAATATTGTTTTGTTTTCACCCTATTGGGAAGTTTTTAAAATTATTTTGATGAATGAATAATGGATTTTGAAAAGAGCCTACATACATACAGAATCTTCTAGAACACGAAAAAGAAAAGGTGTATGCCCGGCGGGCTAGATGTAAAAACGTTTCTATATACTAGTTCACTTTCTGTAGTCAAGACCCACTGTGACACAAGTAGTGAATGGACTCAACAAACGACACAAGTGACATCAGTCCTTATGCTATAGCCCATCTGAACAGTATTCGATCGAGGAGAGAACGCACTTTTTACTGTCAGAAGAAACAGTGTGCTAGCATAGTAGAACGACCGTGTAAGCTAGATGAGTTCCTGCTTGCGTTCGTTTAGTTCGTTCACAAGATAATAAGTTCAATGAGCGAAAGAATGGCGTACAGTTATCAGCTCCAACCCCTTTTCCTCGGCAACAAAATAGCAAGATAATAAGTTTAACAGCGAAGTGGTTGAACAGCTAAATAGTGGTCATGATCATCCTATGAAGAGATTGCTACATTCAACCCCCTCATCTCGTACTTAACGGTATTTAGGAATCAAGTTATACTTTCTCTACCATCTACGTGATGTGACTGATTGTTTTGACTTCCCATGCCAAAAGATTCCTTCAGATCCAAATTTTATTAAAATATTTATACAATACCCGTGTGATTTGACAACCACTTTCAAAAATTTACAAGCTTTGGCAAGTTTCAAGACATGGGCATGGAGAAAAACAGCACCTTCAAAAACTGTCGGAGTTTAAATAAATTCTAAAACAATCTCTCTAAGTGATTAGTACACGAACACAGCCCTAAACTATCTAAAAAGATTTCTACAACGCGGAACAGAGTTATTACGAAAAGCTTCCTAAGAGTCTTCTTTTGCTTTCATCTGTCGGAGCTTCATAGCTCGCATGTGTAACCGTTCCATTTGACTCTCGTCCAAATTAATTTCACAAACCTTAAAGCTTAGCGTAAAAAATATTATTTCGACTAAGAGATTTACCTTTTTTACCAAAAATTCTTCTGTCATGATATGTGGAGGCAAATGTCGGAGACGAGTAACGATGGAATGTAAGTCGGGGAATTGTTTACATTGTTCTTTAGTTCCTAATCCAAATTTAAACAGAACCAACGCTACTTTGAAAAGTACTTTAACTCCTGGAAGGAGTATATCACTTGAGGGACTACAAAACAAACAAGCTGTACCTTCACAGAAAAACATATCCCAAACTCGTAAAACAGTCGGCCAGGGAAGAGTTCGACAAAACACACACATGAACCATTCAATCATGTATAGCACAGGATCTACATTGTTCTTTTTCTAAAGAATAAGCGTTCACAAAGAAAAGTATATCAGTAACTCACAAGATGTCTATAACTAACTGACGATTTCTCCTTCAATAACTGTACAAGCACATCCCCATCTACTTGAACTGCTTCCTTAAAAGATATACGTTGACTTCGTACTTAAGCAAGAACTTACTAAACCAGGACTATAATACTTCGGCAGATATCTCGTACACACTTGCACAAAACAATAAAAGGCATCTCTGCAAGCATAAGTTGTTTAGGTTTGAACACATACACCAACTTTAATGGCATGTGCATTAGTAGCACAGAAGCTATGGGAGCTTGCCCTTGACAATATCCTTCCTCGGGAAATAACACTGTCCAGGTTTTGAGTAGAGTTGATAAATCATCTCGTCTAAGCAATAGATAGTTACTTACACATTGCTGATAACAACAAACCCATTCTTTCCATAAGTTCCTGTCGTCGCAAACATTTCATGCTCGGGAAACTGTCGGTTCAAGTCTTTCTCAATATCATCCGCCCATTTCGGATCAACTTCCTTATTCACACAGATCTGAAAAGACCATTGTCATCAGAAAGGAATTCTGAATGAGAGCTCACGTCAAAAACTTCTTTATTTTTGGAATAGTCCATATGATAAACTGCTCCGCACAAATACTTCCAGGCTTTTCCTCTTAACGATGGAGGAATTCCCTTTCGACACCGCTCACGAACCTTGTCAAATCTACACAAGAAAGAAAGGATACAGAGCAAAGATACGGGAAACTTACTTGTGATCCATATAAAAAGTCCAATTCTCAAACATTTCTATCCACTTCATCTCTCGTCGCCTTAGAACCTTCACATCTACAAAGGCTCTCGCACTGAAACTCAGACTCAATGTACTTCAAGTATGAAGAATGGCTAACCTAGGAACAGAACTATCTGTATTGAGAAAGAAACCATATTCATCTGCTTCCGGAATACTTTGATTGGCGTATTCTTCAGATTCTCGCTCTTCGTCTCCAGTTAGGGTGTTACAGTCCCTACTATCAGTCCTACTTATTTGGTCTGAAGCCGTCTAAAAAGTAAGATATAGAGAGAAGCACTGCGCAGCTGTCTCACTTCGCCTGCTTTTTCTGGCTTCTGTCGCATGAAGGGCATAACTTCCCCGTCCAGAACACAATTTATATTGCTACTTGCCAACATTGAGTTCTGTGTAGATGGCGTGGCTTCCCTCTGATTCAAATCATCTGATGATTCGTAAGGTTTTGAGGGAGAGCCCGTCGTCATACGGTTGATCATTATATTCTCATAGGACTGCTCCATCTGAAAGAACTAGAATCGTATTGTAGTTGAGGAAAAGCTGTATAGCGAGAAATAACAAAGTTACTCAATGTTACGAATGGACTCAACAAACTACACCAGTTTGCGTACCCTAACAAGGCCATGGTATTTTACCGTAATTTATTCCATCACCTTATCTGCATATTTGGAAAGATGGAATGAGAAAGTACGCAGTTCATACATTCACAGCAAACGGTTTGATAAGAGGATGAAAGAGTAAAAGAGGTGAGGTTATAACAATTAGATCATAAGTCACTTAATCACTCACTATTGTTCATATTATATTTCATTAAAATACACAAGCAAACAAAACGAAACTATAGCCATAGTAAACGAAACACGCTTAGTATTAGGACCTTGAAATATTTCAAGTTTCGTTTATCCTTGAAATGTCGCGAGTAGAAGCTGCTATAAAAAGCAGCAGTTTTCAAAAGATTCCTACCATGAAAATAATGCAGGCCTCGCAAACAAAACAAGTATCGTCTTTGCTCTTTGAGTCGAGAAGGAAAAATATATCTTTGCAAGTATATAGTGATAGAAAACGAATAAATAAGTTATTCGTATGAAACGACTGAAATCTGTTATGAAATGAAGGTAATATTCAAATTTTATTTACGCGCACATATGAGTTTCATTTTGGACGCAACACACGCAGATAACGGTTGTGTTTCAAGCGAGGTCATCTCAGGTAGAGAAAACAAAAAATATCTAAGTACTTTGAACTATTTCAAGCTTTAACATCGTGGAGGGAATGAAAATATCAACTGGGAGAACAACCTAATATATAAATGCTCGATTAAAAATCATCTACGTTATCTAGCTTGATAATGTTGTCCTCTTTCTTGAATGGTGGCATTCCTAGGTATGGGCATGAAGCGCAACGGAATGCGTCACCCAATGAGCACTGGAAATCGAAATGATTAACAAAGGCCATAGAAAGCCAACTCACATTTCCGCAACTGCTCTTAACTGGCTGTTGTTGCTTCTTCTCTTGCTCTTCCATTTCGGCCAATCCACATGTGCAGTTCTTACAAGCTCTCTTTTTCTTTGCTTCTGCTGGGTCACCACAAGCAGCTAAAGTTTAAATAGAATGAAGCAATCCGTTTTTTGACCCACCCTTCAAGTCGCTCTCTGTTGGCTTCTGGTAATCTTCATCAGCTAATAAATCATCCTCATCAATGATGTCATCGTCGTTTTGGGGGAGCTGAAATCAAGATTGAAGGAACAAGACAAGAGGAACGCTTACCTTAAGAGCAAAAGTTTGTCCAGCGAAAGAAGGCTTCTCAAATGTGACTCGTGTTCCTAAATAGTATGCTATCGTTTATAGTTTTTTACCAAGCGAAACCTGATTCATTAGAGACTCCTTGCTCATTAGAGAATCCGGCAAGTCTAACTTTTTTGCGAATATCTTCTTCAGCAACGTCTTAAATTCAAATCGAATTGAGCGTAACAGGTAAAGAGAAAACGAACTTGATACAACGGCCTCAACGATAGCTCCAGGCTTGGCAAGACGATATGCTTCAGAAGCTAGGTTGTCTAATTCTTCAATTGAGTTGGATATAAAACCAATGAAATCAAAAGAATTGGAATTTCTTGCTAAAATGAAGCAGATAAGTAGAACGGAAGCAATGATTCACCTTTGGCTCCAGTGACGTCAACTACTTCAGCCTTGCAAGGAACACTGGGTACGAACAACTCAGGGGCAACATTCGCTCCACTTATGAACAAAGTTTGACTAGCCTCGGTTAGCTTATTATTGAAAGTAAACGACATCTGAATAGAAAATGAAGACTACAAACAAAAGAAACGAAGATATTGCGATGTGAACGATAGCATAGAAAATAAGAATTCATCGGAAAATTATTTATAAGGAAACTCTACAGATTGTAAAGGTCATCGAACATTTCCCCTAATCCCGAAGATTCGAGAATTTTCTTGATTTCACCCGTATTCACATGTTTATTATTGGCCCCTGCGGCATTCACTTCTCGGAAATCTTGAAACTTCAAATCTTTCTCTCCCAGGTCTGTTTCTAAAATAAGATGAGCTCCGAGACTGCGAGTAGCTTTTTCACGACCTGTGCTCCTAAGGACAAGGCGTTGCCAATTCCAAGATTTGATCTCGTTATAAAAATTTTGGCAGCTCGAAGCTTTTCCTTATGAAGAAACGTTAGGCAATATGCATGGGAAGGGATATACCTTCAACAATGATAACAGCGGGCTTGCCAGGAGTCGAAAAACCTTTTAGATCGTAGTTTCTCGACAATTTCATTATGTCACTTCTCTAAAACAGTGCTTAGCTCTCATCAGTGAATATATGCACCTTGATGGAACTGTATAAATGATGACTGTATATATAAAAACGGGAATATGTTTCTTGTGCCGGAGGAGTAGGGCATGAACTTCGATTATTAATTAGTTCGAACTCCTCAGCATGATCCTAGGAAGGGTTTCGTAACATGAACTATAGTTTGTTGAACTAACATTAAGCCACATAATGATATCAGCTATAATGGGAATTTCTAGATCTAAAGTATCAATCCATTCTTTAAGATCATTATTGATTCTGCAAGCATTTGTGAACAGAGTATCAAACTCGTGATATCATCTCTTACTTCCGCTCATTTTGAAGATTCGACCCTTGTATGAATACAGACGGACGTTCTTTAATAGGATAGGAAGAAGGAATAGTGAAATGAAGCTCAATCTTCACATTGTCTAATGCCTGAAACGTCTACTTGCACACAATTCTGGTCATATTATAAACTTTCTTGAAAACAAGGTTGGAACTGAGAACCGATGTTTCATGGTCTCGCAGAAATTGCAACTCTCTATCATCAAACATCGATTGCAAAACTTCGAACTCTTCAGCTTTCAATAAATCACATTCATTCTGGATATCTTCGTCTGACTTCATTAAGAAACAGGTTGGCAACTAAAAGGAAAAGCTTGAAGACTTCGAAAAAGTGAAACGAAAGATTTTCAATGGCACGGTTGTACGCATTGCGTATTCTCACTCCTTCTCCGGTACTTTTGAAAATTTTTGGGCGCCTTTCGAAATTCATCGTTTATTCAATTAAACTTAGTAAAATTTCAAGCATAGCTTAAAATACTGTTTGAAGTAGTTCTACGAAGCTTCATTGATTAACTAACCCTGTTCAGATGGCTGACTCAATAGCTTTTGATGATGTTTTCGTGGAAGACATGGGCATTTTGGTATTAGTCATTAAGAAATCAATTTCTTATATAATCGTTGTAGAACGTCGGTCGTATCAGACTAACCCCGACAGCTATTCAATTCAAAAATGAAACAACCGGAAAAGTGGGTTGATTCCATAATGTAGTAGTCATTGTGACAGTTTAGGTGATAAGTGTGACACCTTCCAACCTCGAATATCTTGCTTGGCAGCGGCTTGGTAACAAACCCGGAGTCAATTTCAAATCAAACGATGGTCACAAGCTTAGATGCGGAGGATTCAAAGAAACTGTAAGATTTTAACAAATATCATGCTTAGTTTCTATTCTCAATCACAGGATTTTGAAAAATTGAAAAGCTACGCTAGTCAACACTGGCAAAAAGAGTTGGAACCCAGAGATTTAGTTTTGAAAGGTTGGAACTACGGAGATTGTCGTGTTGAAGGTATATTAGTTCTTGTTTAACGTTTGTTAAGTGTTCTTTAGGTAAATCCATTGAGTTCACTTTCGATGGAAAACCAATTTTTGATGTTCCTTTGTCGAATGTCTCGAACTGCGTCGGAAACAAGAGTGAAGCTACCATTGAGTTCCACCAGGTGTGTCATTTCGAAATATCCCGAATTAAATTTATGAACAGAGTGATGATTGCCCAACTTCATTGATTGAAATGCGTCTTCACATGCCTGCCAACCCTGATGATGAAGAATACGACCCTGTAGAGGTATATCAGTGCCTTCTTTAGTTTGTAAAAACATTCGCTCATAGGAATTCCGTAAAGCTGTCATGATGTACGCCGGGATTGAAACTGATGCTGGACAACCAGTGGCTTCTCTTTCTCAAATTCTCTGCACAACTCCTCGGTTTGTCATTGTAGCTCGTACAGTTATGACCTCATTTCTTTCAGTGGACGTTACGACATCAAAGTTTATCCACAATTCTTGTCCCTTCACGGAAAGACATACGATTACAAAATTCCTATCAAAACTATCATGCGTCTGTTCCTTGTTCCCCACAAAGATGGTCGTCATGTATATTTCGTGGTTTGTTCACGAAGTTTGACTTTCAGCAAATGTTTCAAATTAAGATTTCTCTCAATCCACCAATCAGACAAGGTCAAACCAGATACCACTATCTTGTTCTTGAGTTTTTGAAAGAGGAAGAAATCGAGTTGTCCTTGGGATTAACCGAGTAGGCATTCGAAGTTATAGACATAGTAGTCATGCACTTATAGACAACAACTTGCTGAGCAATATGGAGGCAAACTTGGAAAAGAGATGAGTGGACCACTTTATGAGGTCGTCTCAATGATTTTCCGTGTTCTGATTAATATGAAGATCACAGTGCCAGGGAACTTCATCGGGTATGCTTTTTGTTTCATTTCTTAACCTTGTTTGTGTTTTTAGTCACTCCGGAACACCAGCCGTTATGTGTGCTCATAGGCAAGCTTCTGGATTCCTTTATCCATTGGAGAAAGGTTTCTTGTACATTCATAAACCCCCCATGTATATTCGATTTGAGGAAGTGAGTATAGTTTTCTTTTTTTGTTCATTTTTTTGATCTTCTAGATTGCTTATGTTAACTTCGCTCGTTCTGACGTGTCTACTAGATCATTCGATTTTGAAATTGAGTTGAAGTCTGGTCAAACTCTTCTATTCAACAGTGTAGAGAAGTAAGAGTCTCATCTGATAGTTTAGAGAACCTCCATGTTTCAGAGACGAGTACAACAAACTTTACGATTATGTCCAGAACAAGCATCTCCGTATCAGAAATGCCAGAAAGATGGTGAGAGACAAGTGACTTTCATTTTACTGATGGTATTTACAGGAGAAGAACCCTCTTGAGGACAGATTCTCAGGAAGTGATGATGAAATTGATCGATACAAGGAGACTGTTAAAGCCGAAGGAAAAGAAAGAGAACAGACAGATTCTGACTCTGAAGATGGTATGCTCTCCACTCTCATATGGCATATTCCTAATGTTTTGCAGATGATTACGATCTTGACGAGGATCTTAAAAAACGACAGAAAGAAAGAGTTTGTTTTTGCTCGTCTGGCTGTCATACGTATATCCTATTCAGGAGGAAGACTCCTCAGAAGGCAGCGGCTCTGAGCCCGACGAGGAATATGATTCAGATGCCGATTCTGTTGCTGGCAGTGGAAGTGGAAGTGGTTCTGGTGGAGATGACGACGAAGATGGCGAACGTAAATCCAAGAAGGCAAAGAAGGAGAAGAAGGCTAAGACAGTGGTGAGATTTTACTGTTTTTGCATTTATAAAGTTATTTTGTTCAGAAGGAACCCAAGGAACGCAAGGGTAGAGAGACAAAGAAAGGAAAGAAAGAGAAGGACCCCAATGCCCCTAAACGTCCACAAAGTGCTTACTTCCTCTGGCTCAATGAGAAGAGAAGTACTCTTAAAAAACCCGGAGATTCAGTTGCCGACGTCGCTAGAAGAGCTGGAGAAGTTTGGAAGACTATGTCTGCCAGCGATAAGAAGGTGAGCTATAATTTAATTTTTATCCTGTTATTTCTTCGTTAAGCCTTTCGAAGAAAAAGCAAGTGCTGATAAAGAACGATATGAGAGGGAGATGACAGCCTATAAGAAAAAGCAAAAAGATGCTCCAGCAGCACCAGTTTCTCCATCGACGAAGTCTTCTAAGAAATCAACAGGACCGTAAGTTCTATCTGAGATAGATGAATCGATGACTGCTATTCATCAGATCACCATCCAAAGCCAAGTCAAAAGAATATATAAGCGATTCTGATGGATCTGATCAAGAAGACAAAGCCAAATCGGTTAGTAATTTTTTGTGAGAAAACCTAATCAACATCATGTTCCAGGGCTCCGGGAGCTCCGACAATGACTCTGATGATTCCGATTAAATTTTATATTTCTTTTCTTGTTAATGTGCAGATCTCCATGTTCGAAAATTGTTCTTATAGCGAATGCCCTTAATTATAAAATTTCATTTAACAACGTTATCAACAATCAACAAATACGAAAAATTCGAACTTTTCCATCAATCCCCGCGTACGCCAGCTCTTCTTTCTCAGCATTCGAGAATCGGAGTCTCTGGACAGCTGCGTCTACCGTGACTGCAGGTGTAATGAAAGCTTTTTTGGAAACGATTTGTGAATTCTCTACTCCTAAAAGAGTTATTGACCCATCCTGCAGACCACAAGCAACAATATTCCTGAAAAGGATTGTTTGTTACGAATACTTGACTGCAATACCTTCTACTGACAGCGACAGCGGTGATAGGTTGTGGCAAAGTCTCGGAAGCAAAGACCTTAGCCTCATTACCATCTATCTGCCATAAGATAACCTTTTTGTCTCTCGACGCTGTAGCAAACATAGATGAGTTAGAGAACCAGCTGCATGACCAGATAATTCTCGAATGCTCATCTTTCGACTGCCAAACCTTTTCATAATCGAATCCATGGACTATAACCAGAACATAAAAAAGATTCACGAAACGCAAAACTACTATCTCCATTCCTCTCTTTGTATAAAATGGCAGTTCGATCTCGGCTGACCGTCAACAAATATTCTCCGCTAGGGCTCCATTCGATTTGTGTTATAGTAAGGTTGTGGCCTACAGTAGAACTGCACGAGGGTCAAAATGATAATCATACCTAAAACGCTTTTCTTCAATGTCCAGTTCGAAATATCCCATAAGATAACAACAGCATGTTCTGCTTGACTAGCCTTAATAGTAGAACGTTTCATTACGACCGTACAAAATTCACTAACTTTACAAGATGTGGCTAGAACGGTACCCGTTGGATTAGTGGCAATAGCATAAACTTCAAACCCATGACCATATAGTTTCTGTAGCTCAGGCCAGAGCGTGTTCTGTTGCAAGCAATCCTCTGTTGGAACTTCTGAAGAACGTAAACTATCTATTAAGCTTTGTGTGTTCCGCTCACTTTCTAAATTGGATGGATTAGCTAAAAACTGTTCCTCTTCCCAATGAGTTTCTTCATTTTCTACGGGAGCATCAACTTCTACAGCCTTGTTTGATAAACCTAAAGCGGGCATTCTTGCCCCAGTTTCTGCAAGTTGTTCTACATTGAACACCTCAAAATGTACAATTTTCAAATTCCTTATTATTGAATGAACCTTCTCCTTTGAGACACCACTAATAGCTTCATATGAGTTTGCGAAAGTGATCGGAGCTTGGAAAGCACGATAGATCTTTTCCTCTCCGCCAGATACAAAGCACGTACTGAAATTATGCAAATTTTTCACGGAAGCTTAACTCTGAACTGCATTATTGTTTCGAAAAACTATGCCGAGAACGGTTGCTTTACCCGATCAAGTTAGACAATTGTTTTCTTGTTTACGTAAAACTTGCCTTGATATGGAACACACACACTGCATTTCATGACCATGTACTTGAGGTCTTGCGATTTCACCGTAAGTTTCCTTAAGGGATTGATGTTTCTCTCAAAACTTCCAAAATGCAAACTTGTTCTTTCAGCTTAGAGAAGAGTCTGGTTGTTTTGTCGCTTCCAACAGAAATGAGATATCTACCCTTAGGTTCCCAACTTAAATCACGAACTTCACCGGTATGACCGCCAATCATTGAAATTGGGGCCCACGGTTCATTCTAAAAAGTATAATAACATCGGCGAAGAAATTGGAGGTAATACCTCATTCACTAAGCGCCAAGCATGAAGTCCACCGAAATATGAGCTAGCCACCAATCCTTCGCTGTTATTCGTGAAAACAGCAGAGAAGAAACCAGCAGCTTGACCACCAACAACACCGACTCTGAGCTAGAACGTCGTGATATATGGAAAGATGTTACTCTACTCACCCAATCAGTCCAAATGCCATCAATCTCTTTCCAAATTATAGCGGTTTTATCACTAGATGATGTTACTATCTGAGATCCATCTGAGTTGAATTCAGTGGAATGAACCCAATCTTCATGACCAGCTAGCACTGCTTCGACATTGATAGTATGTACGACATCTTGAAATATTTGATCAGGGGTCATCCATATGAAATATCAAACCTCCTTGTGCCGTTTCGACATTAAACTTATTTTTGGTAACGCTTAGCTCATTGTCATCTACAGAGTTGGAATTCTCAGAAATCCTCCACAATCGAACATAACTGTCTTGCCCAGCGCTAGCAAGGAGAAGTGAATTGTTATTGTCTAGAATGATTCTTTCGATCCTAGTAGACGGTAGAGATAACTAACTATTGAAAGAAACAGAATGGATCCAATCATTATGACCAATCACAGACAACACTGGGGTAAAGATCTATAAAGACATTTTTGATCTAACTATGCTAATCTGTAATATACTTCTTTATCTTTACCCTCTACATAGAGATCAATTTTACGCAAAGAGGTTCCAGCGGCTAATAAAGCATTACCTAGAACAACTCATAACATGAACGATATCTCAGTAGGGGCAACCTGTCGGGAGAATATGCACAGCAATAGACAAGGCAAAAGATTTGGAAGCCTCTTCAATGATTTTCGTGGTTCGTACTATCCACTTCCCTCCAGTCTCCTGTGTCAACCACCAGGAGCGGATTCCAGTGCTTACCCCTCCCTACATAAGGTAAAGTGAAATCATCAAGTTCAGGAATTACGAACCCATGAACCAACAAGTATCAACTCATTTTGACGGGCTGTTCCCGCTAGTGAAGTAACCGAGATAGGAAGTTTATCTAAACCAGTGAACGTTACCTACTCTCAACCAAGGCGCTCTCACCTAGTTTCAAAATATGTTCAAACTTATTGTTTTTGAAAGCCCACAAGTTGACATCGCCATGATTACAACCAGAGAGGAAGTAATTGTCTAAAAACACATCTAACAAATCCTTATTGTATGGGAACTACCACTACTAGCAGATATTCTTTTAACCACTGTTATGGGCTTGGAATGATGTCTTTCCGACACATTTATGACTTTGCCTGGTAGATTAGGATGCTAAAAAACGAAAATCCCTTGAAAGATCTTCCACAGAAACAACTACCGCTGGCACAAGCTCAGCTACTAGATGCCCATCTGCAGCATACACAATAATATCAGCGCCTTCACAAAGGGCAATACAGTGGGATCTTGGATTTACACCCGTTGAGCAGAAAACTTCTTCTAGATCCATTAACTCAAATATATTATGTAAATTTTGCCCATTATCAAGAAATTGGTGATCAGTAACAACTGAGAATACAGAAAAATACAAATTCTAGAACGAAAAGCATTCATTCATAACGCAACAAATAACAACTCTTCAGCGAAGTCTTCTAGCTTCTCTCTCAGACTCGAGAAGGGTGAGAATATCTCCCTCACGGACGGGTCCCTTGACGTTACGGATGATAGAACGGTTCTGGTTGTCCATGAATTCGACACGAACCTATAATGGTACAATTACTGAAGAAACTAAAGAGATAACTCATACCTGGGTACATTGTCCCTGGGATCCAGTACGTCCGATGATTTTAGTCACACGAGCAAGTTGAACTGGCTTATCCATTTTACCTTAAATTACTAAGAGTATGAATAGAAGGGAAACCGACGATTAAAAATCAGAGGAAAAAGAAGACAATTCGCAATTTAAATGACAATTCCAGAGATCAACTCTTGAAACGGAACAGAAACCTTGAAAATCACAAGATATGACTTTCAAACCGAGACACATGTTTCCTATGTGGGTATCCAACACAAATTACGATATTTAATTCAAAAAATAAATAGCAAAAATTGACATTTATCAGAAAAATATCAACAAATCCTAAAAATATTGCTGTGTGAGAGCGATTAGCAAACGCCATTGCCTTACGATATTCCATAGGCGCGTTGCGGGACCTAAACACACAGACCTTTAAATTACACCAGTTCGTTCTCGCGCTCTGACTTACTTTACTTTATGTAGATATCAAGTTTTAAACCAATTTCTTCTACATATATTTCGAAATAAGGAAAGATGAAAGATGTTTAAAATTTCCTTTTTGTTTTGTCGATTCAAAAACAATTAGTTAAATACATATTTAAACTCTGAGAAAGACGGTGTCGTACTCTTCGTGTGTTTGCATGTTTGGAGGGGAAAAGCAACCGTTCTCTGCGTGTTCACAATCATAACTGAATAAGACGTTAGTTTCCCACGTGGCTGTTGAATTAGCATAAACACTTACGCGACTTAAAAGATTTATTGTTCAAACAGATAAGACATTTTCAATATACACGTAAATTTTGGTCAAATTATACAATGAAATAAGTTATGGAAATAACAAAAAAGACAGAATAAAGAGTTCTGAAGCTATTAGTATTAGATTGTTTGAGTTCTGAATTCATAATGTTTTTCCTCATAGTTTTTTTAGTAGATTCACTAGAGTTTATTGTTGGAGTAGTTGATGTTGAAGGCAAATTAGTTGATGTGGAAGACGATTTGGGTGAAGAAATAGATGAAAGAGCTTTAGCATCATCACTTGATATATCATTTGATACTTCTTGTGCAGGAGACGTCTCCTCTTGTACTTTGTTGAGCAGTTGCAGTTTAGGTGATGTTCCAGTAAACTGACATGCAGGCATTAGTGTGTTTGTCGTATCTTTGAGAACTCTGAATATGACCTGCCATGCTGATTTACCACATCGTTCTCTGATATGAGGTCGAACACATCCTGAGAAGAAGTTCAATGCCCTGAAGTTATTGAAAACAAAGTTTATGTATAGTTGATGTGCTATCCATACCCACACATCCTGTCCATCTTCGCATCAATAGCTATATCTACCTGACTATTGGCTGTTTCAATCTCCCTCAACGTCTCGTCGTGACACATTTTGACTTTCGGTCGACGGTCAAGATCCATGAGACAATCGGCGGACTCCATGAATGCTGTAACAGTTGTTTGAAAAAAAAAGTATAATAAACATATAAAATTTAATTGAATTTGAAGAGGATAAATAAGAAATTCTTAAGGAGACAAAGACTTAATGCCATGGCTTTGCTTCTTTCCCATTATATTCATCCATAGTATTAATGGATTAAATTAAGAGAAGCGATGGAAAAAAGAAGCTGAAAGTCTAATTGACAACGTCGAACTCTCTTTGTTTTTTTGCAGAAATAGAGAGAGAGGATGGGATGATGAGAGGTAGATAGATGAAGTTGAGAGAGAAAGGTATTGAGAGGAAGTTGAAAGGAAGTGAGAGAGAGAAAGTTCAGAGAGAGAAAGAGAGAATATGAAGAAGAGTTCTGAAGTTTCATATAAAAACTGACTGTTATATCCTTCATTACATAAATATCCATAAGAGCTGTCAATTAAAGATATTGTGACATGTCGTGGACATTTGATTCGCTGCTCTCGCACACATTCATTGAATTTGGCGATTAATCTAAATATATATTAACTTATTTTAATATTAATAAAGAAAACATTTGAAAACAAACATCCAATATATATATATATTCAAAGAAACAAAAAATTGAATGCGAAATCCGTTTGTTATTCCGATTCAATGATGATACTCTCTCTATATATTGGATGGCTAGCCTGTAAGACAACAAACTCTCTTACTTGCATAAGTCATTGAACACAGTTCCACCCATGTTAGGTAAAGAGAATGGGGCTGCAATCTCATCTGTACCTGAACGTCTTCCTTCCTACAACAATAACAATAATTCATCTTCAATGTTCAATATTCAGACTTACATTTCGATTTATAATTTTCGCATAATCAGCTACCGGAGCTACGCATTCTTGTATTCGCGAACTCACATAGTTCGGACAGTAATCAGCTGTTACCAATTTCAAAACAACTGCAAGACCATTTAGCATGATAATGAGGATGAGTGGATGAACAGTAAACTTACAAATAATAATAAATAACTTCATAATCTTAGATCCATCACTCGAAGTTGATTCTCTTAATTACAATGCAATGTGATGAAGATCAGGTAAGCAGCAGAGGATGAAGCTGAAGAAACTGATTGTTAGCTTATGACTGTATATGGCCAAATGCAATATCGTGAGTAATTGAGAGTTTCTCACGACTCTTTAGGAGTGAAAGGTGATCAAACAAAATATTTTCAAACACATAGTATGTGAGGTTCATCAACTCAAATATGGTTTGTAATAAAAAAAAGTTGTTTTGGTGAGTGTACGTATGAGACAAAGAAGAGAGGAGAAGGTGTCGAAGCTTACATCATATTCTTATGGAAAGAAAGAATTTCTGAGAACGATATGGAAATCAACAGACAGAACGCAAGATCAGACTTTATGAAATTCGAGATTTGGGAGAGAAGGAGGGACGGAGGGAAGGGCGAAGGGAGGGAAAAGACGAAAAAAAAGGATTTTGGCGTCTCTTCATAAAAATGAGACGGATTACTTGAGTCATAAATCACAAAATATGTATAAAATATAGGAAAAGCCTTTGAGAATTTCGAGAATGATCATATTAAAAGCATATTTAGAGGAATATTCTGTACTTTCTCTCTTAATATATATAGAGAGAGAAAGAGAGAAAGAGAGAGGATAAGCTGGGAGAGTTAGTGGCCCTGAGATAGAAAACGGCCTTCCAAAAGGGGGAGGGAGAGTTGCACATGAGGAAACGGCTGAAAGAATAAGCTCAAAGTTCGCAAAGTGCTTGTTTACTAGGAAACAAAGATAATATATGAATTTTATAATTAAGGAAGCATTGCGGTTGAGGATGAGAGAAGAATTTCTTTTTTTTTCCCATATTTGGATGAGGAACGAAAAAGTGAATGAAGAAAGCTTAAGCTCATAGCATCTCCTTGACAGGTGTCTTTATACTTCTCTCATTCGTTCACCTTTTTTTTTAACAAAAAGAAGGGAAAGAGGACGAGAATGAAGAAGAAAGGGAATGAGAAGCAACATGAGGAGTCAAAAATGATCGGATGGGCTTTTGTATAAAATCCTTTATTGATTTGTTTGACATAATCGAAGACAGATCTGTCAACGGTTAGACTGACATCATATGGAAATGAAGATAAAATATATAAAGATTTCTAAGAAATCTACTCTTAAGCTCAATCATTCGAACTCGATTTTGATTTTTCTTTCAAAAATCTTTGTCCGGAAATACGCTTTGGCTATCTTGCTATTGCTCGGCTGCACAAGATTTCTGAGTTTGGGGTGACGAAAGGAAAAAAAGGTTTTTTTGGTTTGTACTCTCTCTCTCTCTTTCTCTTTCTTCACCTCTGTATACGTTTCTCACCTTTGATGTCTCTTTTGACTTACGAAAGTTGAATTCTGCAAGCTACTTGTAAGCCAGGTGGATGATTAATGAGTTATGGGAATTGTGATAGTTGCGCAGAAGAGAATGGAAAGAAATTTTTCTCTTTTTTTTCTTTCTCTCACTCTCTTTCTCTTCTTATGTTTGAAAGGATGAAATTCGAACAAACAACATGATAGATTGGAAGCTTTCAAAGCAATTTTGGTAAGGTTCGTATAACTTCAGGAAGTATTTATGTTGTAATGAGGTGAAGCTTGGAAGGTACAGACAATATGAGAAACAGAGATGAAGGACTCTTAAAAGGGGCTCAAATCTCTCTCAGAATCAAAAGAGATAGGAAGAGAGAGAGAATAACAGAGAGGAAATACGTTTACAATACTTTTTCCCTCTCATCCTGGTCACTCAGGTGGAAGAAGATAACTAAGGATTTCAGCAAATCGTCACTGCATAGCATAAAATTGAACGAAAAATCTTTTTTTATTCCTTCTCTCAAATACATTGAAGGCATTTGGTGGTGTTCGATTTCATTCGAATATATTATTTGTGAAGGATATTGTTGGAAAGTTTTAAATAAACGAAGTTAGACTGGCTGACGAACGATATGTAGCGAGCGACAGTAAATGGAGGAGCCTCTCTGGAGACTATGCTAAGTTCGCCGAGTTACGTTTTTGTTTTTTTTGTCTTCAGCAAAAAAACATTTTTCAATATCTTGAAGGGGCAGGTTGAAGGGTGGGTAGACAAGGAGAGAGAGAGGACTGAAGGACTGAAGAAGGGAGCCAAAGGAAGGAAGGGAATGTTTTCAGAGGTAAAGAGGGGAGATGAAAGGGTCTCGAAAAATCATGATGGATGAGTGCAATGAAAGGGAGACAAAAAAGAAAAAAATAGGAAGAAAAAGAAACCTTTTGAGCTTAAGAGGGAGAAACACGAAACGAGAGAAACGAGAAAAAAAGGGAAAAAAAGGGAAAAAAGGAAGAGACAAAGGTTGAAAGAGTTGAAACGTTCAAATCGGAAAGTTCTGACATAAATAGCGATTTATGAACATATTGGAATGTAGGATGATTCCGTCAATCAGAATGCCATTTATGGATATGATTTCAGATGACATGAATGTGGCAGAATTAGCATATTTGGGTTGAAAACTGGTTACTGCATAGCTCTCAACATGTTTTTTCTTATTCGAAAATCAAACAAAAATAAAATATTTTGTAGCTTTTAGTTAAACGATGCACGTTGACACGTTGAATATTAGAAAATAGAATGAAGATGGGTGGCTGGTGGGTGAGAGAAGATTAGAAAGCTAAAGAGCGTCTGATGTCATGTCAAATCTACTTGAAAGCCTCTCATCGCTTGGAACTCATTTAAGCTTGGATGCGGCATGTTTGGGTCGAAGACAAGTGACCTGCTTGATATAAAGTAGTTAAAAGAAATTGCAAACATACGAAGAGTATTATGGGTATGGAAATAGGCATCAAAGAAGCGCAAGATCTTAAAATCACAAAAAAGCGAGTAAACGTTAAGAAGTGCATGAGTAGCAAGAAAGGAAGAGAGAGAGAGAAAGCAGTGTGAGAGGAGGGAGTTGTTAACAGATGGATATAGGAGCGACATATATAATTATCCTTTTATTTGTAAACAAAAGAAAGTTTATAAGGTTAATCGTCTGACTACAAGCAGTCATCCGTTCTTCTCATTATTTTCGTTTTCTTTGGAGCAAAGTCAAGGATCAAAAAAGTGGAAAGTGGGATCATGAAATTCCTCTCGGACGATCCTATCCTGTTACTTAACATAAGCTCATTAACCCGTTTATGGCTTTTACTCAAAAGGACAATCTCAGAATACTCTGATTGACCATCTGCATCATCTTGGCAAAAGCCAATTATGGTGGAGGAATAAATGAAAACAGATTTTACAAAATATCTTTGAGATAGCAATGAAACATCAACGACTAGACGAACTCAGGTAATTTGTACTTTCTGCCTAAGCGAGCCTCTCTAGACAAGACTGTGAACTATGGTCTTATAAACAACAATTGTCTTAAGATTTCTAAAGCAACATAGAGAGAGGGAGAGACAGGGAGCGTATGAGAAGGGAATGTAACATAGAGAGGTAGAATGTCTATGAAGAGAATAGATCATTCTCTCTATCTCTCTGTGTCTCTCTCTATTTCTTTATACGGAAATAAAACGGAAATACATGAACGGATCAGATGTCAGATGGATACAAACACACACACACAAACCAGTTGTATCTTCTTGTGACCAAAAGCCTTTAGTCAGTCTATCTTTCCTCTTACCTTATATGGCCCAAGAAAGATAGAGAAGGAGAGAGGATATGTAATCCTACTCTTCTTTATGTATGGAGGATGACAATACAAAATGTAAATATAAGTATAGTTAACCACTTAATTACTTAAATCTATGATATTCGGAAGAAGATGTAACTGATACACAGAAACTGAATATCCACAGTCTCATGTCCATTTACGCACTTTAAATGTTTTCATAAAAGCTTATGGCTGGGACAAAAAAAGAAATTTTCAAACAAGGCCCTTCGAATCATTTGAACTTCAAATAAATTCATTTCAGATGGATACAATAGACAACAAACAAATTATTTCAATATGTACAACAAATTCAAGAACATTAATATGAATACTCGTAAGACAAACAGACAGCCTTATTCGAAAGTAAGGACTATCCACTCGCACACAATGTTGTAAACAGCATACATGGTTGATAACTGATTGATCTGATCAACTTATTCAAATGACCTCAGATTAGTTGTATAACAGTAATGAATTGACCAAAATTCAAAGCTCAATCTCAATCTGCATGTGATTTCAATCAAATCGGCCGATAATCACTCTCAACTCGTTCAGCTTACTTAACCCGAATTCTTGCCAATGTAATTCCAACAGACGTAAGCCTTATTAACTCTTCGCAAGTCACTGTCGGAAAAGTCAACACTTCGTCCCATGACTGGAGTATATCGTTTATCCTGCAAAGTTTTTTTTTTGCTTTTTCCTTTGAAAGTTGAATAGAGAAGTCAAACCTTGGCTTCGATTGTGTTTTTGCCGTTCTTACTTCCTTCATTACTCTCATAATGCATTATGGACAGATAATCATAGCCTTCTCCATAGTAAGATAGACCAAAGTTGGAAAGCTTGGCGAAATCCGTATCGGCACCTGTTATGAGTGAATATGAACAGTCAAAATACAAATAAACTATATAGTATGGATGCCCTCCAACAACAAGCTCAGTTGATCGGTTTGAATTTTGAAGTCTCGCGCGTTTATATCCGGTCGCCTTTATTTTTCATTTTTTGATTTTGCATACGCACGAACGGTTGGTTGAGCTGTTTTTCTGACCTCAACGTTGTTTATTGACTATTTTACTTTACTTTATTAATATTATTATTTTGTGTTTCAACGAAAAAATCTTTCGATAGGGGGGTTGGGCAGTTATATAGCAACCGATTGCTTGTGCTCATAGAAGCTGAACCTACCTTGTATAACATTCTGCCATACGATGCTCACATAGCCGTCGCGGTCATCTCTTTGATGTTCATGAATAAATCCTGAAAGTCTAACAATGGCCGGAATTTGGTTTTTAATATTTACCTATTACGTGCATAAGCTCGTGGATGATTGTAGCGTAATCTATACATTCGTCAGCTAAGGACACTTGTTGACGTCCTCCTACTTTAGCAAAATCAGCGTAGCAGCTAAGAAACATGATAGTTAGAAGGACATCATACTATTGTAGCTTACCCATCAAGCTTAGAGATTACAACATAGTCTTTATCAGTAGGAACCTTAGGTACAAATCTAATACAAGTTTTCTGATTATACCCATTAATGGCTTTAGCTATAACAGCTCTCTGTTGCTCAGCTAAAACGATTTGATTGAGCTGGAGATATCAGTGTTACGTATCAGAGTTAGATATGAGCACGTGTTAGATGTATAGAATAGGAATGTAATAATTTGAATTAAACAGTACTATAAGCAGAGGAGAGAATATAAGGTACACGACCATTTGGCCATTTATCTTTTGAGTCTTGAACCCCCACACCGCCACGACGGAATCTCTACAAAAGGATTTGCTAAGGATGAAAGCATAGCAGCTTGTTTGTTACTCTTTGACCGAAACGTTGATCGTTGTGTAAAGGGGTAGATCGAATTCTTCTTTCTTTAGGAATCATAGCGGCATTGGCAAAATCTCTTTCCGTCAAAAAGCTATAATCTTGGGCCATAGCAATAGCAACAAGAGTGCATGAGCAGATGCAGAGCAAGTTGAGATTGGAAGATCTCATCATCTAAAACTTTGATCTTAAAGCTGTTCTCAAGATACTATATAAGCATGAAGCTCCTTTTTGAATACAAAAAAAAGTGAAGAAAAAAGGTACAAAGATAACAGATGTGAATGGCAGTACGTCTAGTCACGCAGACATCTGAAGACGTTTGTGCCGGAAATTCTTCAATCATCATCAGCTCCTCCCCAGTTTTCGGGAACAAACATTTGATGAGGAAGACATCGAGAACTTCTGAAACCGGAAGTGGAAGCAACAGGGTTAATGTTGTGAGTGAATACAGCAAGTTAAGTTAAATACAGGAAGGCATAACTTTGCCTCAGAACTCAATTTTATTTTTTTTTTTCCAAAAACTGGACAGCACCTATTCTGAATAAGAGACATTGACGACGTTGAAAATTCGTTCATCTCGTTCAAGAAGTCATCTATGCCTCTCTCTCTCTCTCTCGATGTGAATGCATTCTCAGCTTGATGGAATCGCATAACTGTTCGCTGTTTTTTTTGGTTAAGCCAGTGAAGAATGAAGAGGATGATTCAAAATGATATTCAAACCATAAAGCTATCGGCACAGGTTTATGATAGTTGAAGAAACAATCTAAGAGATTGAGCAAATAACTGATTAGTGGGCGAAAAAACTGAGATAATATCATCACAAATTCAAATTTTTGAGAGAATTTCAAGGTATGAAGATTCGAACGACGACAACATCGAAGATGATCATGCAGAAGATGAAGATGAAGAGGATGTTTCACTTCAAAACAGAAACGATAGATGCATGTGAGCATTATCTGTTTCTTCATCATTCTCACTGTCTTCATCTGTTGTCGTGTTGATCTATGAATAAGAGGGAAAGCTTCTGCTACTAAACGAAGATTCGATTGTATGACGGAACGATTTGAGTATCCCCTCTGCCTTATTCAGAATACCTGCAAGATCAATGGGACTATGCTGGAACCGGAAATGTTATGCAACTAATTGAGGTGAAATACCGAAGAGGACAGAAGAGACGAGCAAAACGAATTGAAATATTGCGTTTTGCAGAAGCACAAAAAGATGTTTGCTTTATTCCAAACAGAAGAATAGCTGGATGGACACCAGGACAAGATCATCATCTGCCTTATTGAGAAAAATCCATTTATGGATACATCTGCATATCATATTGCTCACATCACTATCTTCTGACTATGTTTAAACTTATGATCACGTAGCTCGTTGTTCGAATCATCTTTTACATGAATCCAGAAACCGGAAGGCTTATTCAAGTGCATTGAGCACGTCAGAACAAGTTCACGAAGAAGAAAAAACAATCACCTACAACCTGATTCTTGATAGCAGCAAAGTGATAGGATATCATAGCGTAACTGCTGTTTAACTTCTTCTCATTTCTCATCCTGGTCTTCAGATGAGAAGAAAAAAATTTTTTTTCTTCGTTCAAATGATCTCGCTCTGCTTCTGTAAACTCATTCAATCAATAGATGTGCCTCTCGCTACGTTATGGAGCAGTTAGATGCTATTCGAGAGCAGACCAGATTTCAACACAAAAAAAAGAAAGAATTTTCATAAAAATCATAACTTGTTCTGGCAAATATTTAAAGTAGCGGAAGTAACGGCTAATGTGGTGAGTAATACATCAACGTTCAGTTTTACTTGTACTGATTGCTCATTGACTCACACAGATCAGTCATGAACTGTACTGCAGCTTCAATTTGATCTTTTGGCTATTGAAGATTCCATTCTCGTGTTTTCACATCTCAACGGCTGCTAGCTTTCCATACTGTTGATTGTTCGCCTCTTCGAGCGACTCCGGCTTTTTTTGGCGTGAATTCTAACGGAAACATATACCGGATGACATCGAAACCGGTTACGGTGTACGTATGAGATGCCGTTTCACTGCCTGAGCCAGCATTGTGATTATTGTGATGATGATACTGCCTGTCTGCATCATCAATATATATTTATAATAATTAGAATAATTGAATGATTTATCAAATGATATGGTATGTTTCATCATTTCCATATATAGAGATTGTTATGATTCAGCTAATGAGACAAACACATGAATTAAGCCAAAGAAATCATGACAACTCTTGACAACACTGATAGCCCATATTTGCAATGGAACTTGACAACTGAAAGCTATAAGCAGCAAACAGTTAATAAATGAAAAACGTTGTTCGCCAGGTGTACACAATGCCCATACAGTAAAGGCTAAGAATATCATATTGACTGCCAATGAAAAGAAGCAGGACACATAGTGTATGTATACCAGTCTCTAAAATACAATTCTGTTTACAATGACTAACTAACTCAAACATATTTCTTTATTTTTCTTTTTCTCCACAATTAATTATTCTTTTGGCTTCTGACCCCTATAATGCTTATGCACAGCAAATACACATACAACCGCTCGCTTCAAAGGCAAATTCCTCAAATGAGTATGTGCTCGTATGTAGGCGTGAATTCATTCGCGCGCTTTTTCTATTTTTAAATTTGAAATTTAATTTTTTGTTCAAACTTCATTGATTTGAATGAAAAAGTATATAAAATGAAAATTTTTCATCAACTCTTTACCAACCTTATTGAAATAAAGTATTCCGCGTAGAAGAAGCAAAGCTAACATAACAAGAACCTGCAATACGTGAGAATGAGAATGATTGTTCCTGATTCGAATATCCATCTCTCTCTCTCTCTCTATCTCCTTTATGCTCATCTCTTCCACATACCACATCATAAGCAGCAATTGCATAAAAAAAGATATGATGACCAAACCATCCATTAACCGTATTAGGTATTGGCTCCCAAAATGTAAAACCACCACGCGACATAGCACTCAGTATGCTGAGCAACGTGCTTACAACAAAGACAAACTGAAATTCAATGAATTCTTATATGATTTTTGGTATTTTTTTTTCTATTTCCTCTTCTTCATTTAAAATAGGAAAGTTCAAAGTTGTTATGCAAAATTGTGAAGCGAAAAAGAGTTTTTCATTCAATAGACTAGCACAAGTAGCAGTTGGCATCTGTAAAAGCCACATCCGGTCTCACCCTATAACGTCAAACCTTCGAAAATTCTCAATTGATTTTTTATTTCTTCAAAAGTAATTGTAGGTTTCGGAAGAAAAAAATGAATGAGAAAGACATATCAGGAAGTATGAGAAGAAGGATGGCTGGATAAGGAAGTTACCTCAAACACAACAACTGTCATACAACCCGCTCGGACTAGGCATGACGAAAGACAACAGAGAGGTTCAAGTTCCAAGTGTCTCGATTGAACCCTTTAAATGATTATAAGCTACAATATCATTCAACAACAACTTACTTCGTATGGATGGGTGCGACCTTATTCGTTCGCAGCTTATTATGAAATTGTTTTCCTTTGGATACGATCTCACACACTCGATCGTTTATGGAAATCAGTTTCATTTTCAACTTATCTATCGGCTTGGCGTTTTTGAAATCTGAAAAAAGTCAACTCATAACTAGATTAATGGAAAAAAGTAAAAAAACAGTAGAAATGGCTATGATAGATTGAATGGGAACAACTTGAGTCAAGGTACTTGGCCATATAAGGCGTACAAGTCTTGAGCGTTCAAAAACATGTTCCAGTCAGCTGGAAAGAGTTGTGTCTTAGAGCTGTGTAAAGCTACGAGTCAAAAAAAAGTTTTTTTATATGAAAAAATAGAAAAATGTTATGAAAAACTAAAAATCACCTTTAGAATCTTTTGGTTCTTTAACTTTGGGTATTTTCAACGGTTTCTGCCCTTTGGTCGATGAAGCATTGGAAGCCTGGAAAGTTATGCAAATTACGAAATCATCATGAACTCATCATTCGTTACTTTCCAATTCTGCTCTTCGGGTGGAGCCCAATGTTGATCGACCATGCTGCTTTTAGGTTGTCTCCTCTCTGCTTGCCAATCCTACGAATAACCATATACGGTAATAAGTATACGATATGCTTGATTAACGATATCTAGCTTGTGAATCGGAAGAGAGAGAAAAAAAGTTTCAAAACTCACCTGTTTGTCCATTTTCTGCGTTTCAGATAGAAGTCAAGAAATTCAGAAAAGAGCACAATAAAGTGAAATGTTGAAGACGGGACAATTGAAATACTTCAGGACTTTCACTTCAATTGGAAGTCGGCAATAAGAAAAGCCAAATTCAAGCATCCTTTATGAGGCGAACCGATGCTTAACGTGACTGAATGACAGATTGCGAATTTCGAAAGTTTTTATTTTCTTTTTTATTTTTGAGTCAAAAAAAAAGGAATGCAAGGTGCTTGTCTTGGTCTCAAGAAGTGAAATGAGCCAAATGATTTATTGTTGGAAGAGGGGAAGGCTGAAGAGTGGTACTGAACAGAGTGGGGTGACTAGGTAGACTTCTAACTTATGACTTTGATCTGATCACATCATCATCACCGAAATAGATTTGCTCAAATGATATTTGAAGCAGAAAATGGACAGAGTATGACATTATATAAAATAGAACGACACAACATACGATTTGATTTGAGAGAGAGAAACGTTTTTGAGCTTGAAAGTCTCTGAACTGCCTTTGAATCTCATTTAAACTCATTTCTCCCGTTAATGTTTAAAGATCATTCAGATTACCTTTTATGTATAAGCTTTATCGTTCACATGAAGGTGGCTGAAGCTTTTTTTCTCTTTTTGTGCCCGCTTCAACCTTTGTCTCACTTTCCAAAGCTCCGGAAGTAAGCTGAAGACGACTGCATGTTCACAGAGAAGGAGGCGGTTTATTCATCTGTTCTTTTTCGAAACGTTTCATACAAACGTTCATTGTAGAGAAAGATATAAGATATTTTTTGTTTTAAATTTTTTTTCCCCTTACCTCCTCCACCTCTGAGCATATCATCCGCTCTCCTTATAAGACTGAGCAAGTTGTTATGGACAATTTCAAAAGTTTTTATAAAAAAAATAAACTTTTATACAAGAAAAAGAAAATCAAACTTACATATACGTAACGGTCCATATTTGGATCTCGAACACTCTGCTAAAAAATTGAAATGGCTGTTGCTCAGTCAAAAACGTTTGCGCCTAGTTCAAATGATGACGCGAATATGCAGTTCTGCTCAGCCAACGAGATTTTCTTACCTTGTAGAGAGATATGTACAGAGAGTATGAGAAAAAAATTTATTTAAACGAGAAAACAAAAATATACAATAGCACATTACAGTTTAAAGTGTTAACATGTTAGTGGTGGCTGAACTCAATTCCAGTTACTTCAACTTCACCGTCAAGTCTAAGACCAACGTAATCAGTTGATGGGTTGGCAGTACGATGCTGGAAGGTTCCGAAACGTT